TTTTGCAGTATATATATTTTTTCTCTTTTTTTTTCAGTGAGCACTACGTTAACAATATGCGATGAACAGTACCTTTCAATCCAATTCTAACCAAAGTTCTTGATACCAATTGATGACAACCACAAATTGTGTCATCGAATTAAACGATCTTTAATTGGATTTCACACAATAGAAACAAAATTATTAGGGCACAAATAGGAACGGAAATAAGAAGAAAAATAAAAAGTGAAAATAGAATAGAGATGAAAAATGGTGTCACAATCGTAAGATTGATAAGTCAAGGAACGATCGCCACAAGAGTTTTGGCCTCTTGATAAGATCAAAGAAAATTGGCTCACTTAAGAACCTAGAGTAATACGCTCTCACAAGAAGAGTGTTCAATCTCAAATTGTATTCAAAACTAATTAAAAGTGTGTCTACAAGAGCTTATATATGCCTAATGCTTGTAAACTAATACTAACGCAAACCTTAATGGGCTTCTTGTACCAACAAGCCTAAATTCAAATAAACTAAATAAAATAACAAGATTTTATCCTAAATAAAAACTCAAAATACACAATGACTAATATTAAAATAAATAAACTAAACATAATAATTAAATCCTAATAAAACTTGTTAGAGTTCAAAACCTCTAAGCATATGTAATTGATCATCTTGGGCTTTTCTAACTCTAAATTGAGCTCCCTTTCAAATAAGACAGCAACAATCTTTTCTAAGTCTCCATTTATTCTTTTTGCCCTTGCCCTTGTCATTGGTCCTTGAAGCCCTTCCAATGCCTTCAAGTCTTTGTCTTCAATGGGCCTTTCTTGATTCTCATCACAATGTATACAATATAGAGCCCTTAGCAAAAGTATATTCAGTAGTATTAGTCACGAAATGAGTGTAAGGCCATGTGATACATTTGCACTCAATTAGATTGAGTACACACAAGCGAATGTCATTCACCACCTTACATTTTCTCTAAATTTCACAATCGGCTTCATATTCTATACTCTCAATGTATCTCTGTGACTATCCATATACATTTTAGTTAGTTTTTTATAACACACCTTTTGTTAGTACCTCTCTTTCCACTTGGATAACATAAACAACTTTAAATTTTCATTCTCTTTCTGTAATTTTCTCTCATCATAACAAAAATTCATCATTTTCAAATATGTATCAACTTTCAAACAAAGATCCACAATCATTGTAACATATCATTCAATCACAATTAAACTATCAATCAATTTGCCAGAGGTTAAATACCCTTTGGACTTAGCTTCAACCACATTTCATCACTACAACAAAAATAAGTTTCAAGCCATTATTTAGTAAACATAAATAATTTGTCAAAAAATCATACTACAAACTTTAATTAATATGCTTATTAAATATTAGTCAATAAAATATTTATTTTTACTAACAATTAATACAAATTTCTTAAAAAATAAAAATAAATATCAATGAAGGTATATAAGAATTCTTTCATTTATAAAATTATTTTTGAAAAATCAAATCCTCGCTTTCTCTTTCTTTTCATACGTTTGTTTCTCGAAATTGAAACTCTTACTTTTTCTCTCATGTTAACGAAGTATTCTTCTTGATTTTCAAAAAATCCAAGTGAGTTGTCAATTTGTTTATTTTTCTTTCGATTACTGGTGTGTTTTCTTTCATCTGTCGATTAATTTCATCAGAGAAGAATTGCAAAATATTGAGATTTCTATATAACTGGTTGATAAATGCCAATTGGTAGTTGTTTTTGGCATATAATTTGGTACTTATTCGATTCCTTTCTAATTATTTTATGCTTAAAGTTCCTTTTAATTCAATGCATTTACATTTCATGCTAATTAAAGTTTAGCCACTTAAATTTAGTAATTATCTACTTTAAATATATGATCATATGAAGGTATTTGATGCTTTGTTATTATGCTAAATATTAAAGGGTAAGGCTTGGTGGAATGAAGATTGAAAAGAAGAGAAGGAAAGTCCTTAAAGCTAGCAAATCTCGCTTGAGTGAGCTATGGGTCGCCTGAGCGAGAATGTCAAGCTGCAAGGCCTGCATGCTATCGTATTTTCACTTGAGCGAGAATTTCATCTGAGCAAGGAGGGATCTCGCCTGGGTGAGATCAGCTGGAACTGGAAGGCGCCTCTGTGTGGTTCTTGCTTAAGCCCAGGGGATATTCATTCATAGACCTAACTTGGTTTGGGAGTGCAGAATAAGAGGAGAAGCATGGGAGAGTGGCTACACCATTGGAGGGCTATTTTTTATCCTTTTTCTATGTATTTTCTTGTTGTTTTGTATACTATGAGTGGCAAGAACTTCATAGAAAATTGGATGTAATCTTAACTTTCTGAATATTTTAGTTCATTAATATAGTTGTACATTTTCCACGAGTCGGATGTGTTTATCTTGATATTAATGCTTGTTTTTACCTTACAGGGAATGATTCATGATTTAAGAACTTGGGGTAAGTTCGACAACTACCATAGGACCTGGCTATGATAAACTCACACACTAAGTTAAGATTCTAAGAATAGATTCTAATCTATTGTATGCTTGATAACTCTTGATATTAATGTTGGGTTATTTGTTGTTTGGGTAAGAAATTATCATTCAATAAATATATCTTAGAATCTCGAGTGAGAGGAATCCAACGAGTAAATATAATGGGAGTGCATTGTAAGACCGTGGTATTTATTCATACTATATTATGACTAAAATATGAAGTTAGTAATAGATGAAATCTGATCTCTACTCTTTGTTATCATAGTAAATTTACATTTCACCATCTTGCTTAATTTTCATGAATCCAACCAACCAAAACTAAATGAAATGTAGTTATAAATTTGTGAATATTTAAAATTGTTAATTTTAATTTAGATAACTGAAATTGCTTGTGTATCAACACTCCTTGTTGATATGACAATCTTTTATACTATATCAACAACTTGGTACACTTGCCAAAAATCTTTAACACTGGTGAGTTCTTTTATGCCCCACCTCTATTATTCTTCTCCAATGTGAAGTTGATTTTTTATTTGTAGAGTTGTATGAACTAAAACACTAAATTTCTGCACATGACCAATAATCCTTATTTTTAGGAAAATCATAATCATGTGATAATACAAGATGCAAATCTTTCTTCATTGTTATATCATCTTAAAGTGGGAAAGAACACGTGTAGAGTTTTTGATATGCATGTTGAAATAATTTGTTAGATTGCTGTTGAAGAAAGATAACTCATGAGATTAGAGTCTCAGTAGTAATAATTATTAATATTTTTTATTTTTATTTTTTCAAAAACTCCACACACCATAGGATGAGAAAGAAGGAAAAAAATGAATAAAAAAGAAAAGAAGATGGAAGGGAAGAAGAAAGAAAAAGAAGAAAAAAAAAACTTGCATATTTAAGGACGAAGATGAATAGCACTTTTTTATGAAAAAAAGATAAAAATAAATTTAAAGAATTTAACATTTGTAATAAAAAGTGACATATTTTGAACTCTTATAAATGACTAAATTAAACCTTTTAAAAGTTAAAATACTAAAATAAACAAATTGTATAAATTTAGAGGAGCAAAATATAATTTTACCTTTATTATACTAAAATTTTACAAGTATAATAAATGCTTTTTAATAAAATATTACTATTATTATTATTAGATCTGTCAAAATAAATTAATCTAACTTACTCAAGTTGGCTAATTTTTAAAATTATAAATGATTATAAAAATAAGAACACAAACATTAAATAGGGATTAAAAATATAAAACATTAAAGTAGATTAGTTTGATTTCTTTAGATGTCTTATTCTTTTAGGGTTATCGATCAGGGATTAAAAATTTTATATTAATAAAAAATAAAATAAATGAATAATATTAATAAAAAATAATTATTGAAATTAAAATTTACTAATCAACCTGACTTAATAAGGGTTGACTCATATAATTAATAGATTAAATGACTGACAATAAAAAGTTGCGTACCTTATTAGGTTAACGTCTTTTACTATTCAACTCACGTAAATTTATCATTTTAGCTCACATATTACGATGTATTATAATAACTCTAATTATTAATTACTTAAATTTAATCTGAAAATTGAAATAAACTTTTTAATCCTCATAAATAGATAACATAAAATAGCTAATATCATTTATTATTTCTCGTTATCTATAATTATAAATAATAATGACATAAATGGTAAGTAGTAAATGAGCTTCTCTTTCCTCATTTATTATTTGTCCTCTTATCCGCAATTGTAAATACGTGTAAAACTTATCCTCGTCCAATTAATTTAAATTTCCCCAAAATATTTATAAGATTACTTAAAATAAAAATTTAATTAAGAGGCATGCTAATTATACGATTTTTTAAAATTAAAAAATCAAGATAAGTTTTAAAATAAAAAAGAAAACATTTTTAAAAAGAAAAAAAGAGTGTACCCTACAACTATGGCTTTATCGTGTAAGAAAACAGAGGAGGCGGTTAGATAAGGTAATAGCGTTGTGGCAAAGGTATTTCAATTTGAAGGCTTGGAATCTCTAACAAGATTCCACTTTTCCATGATTCTCTCCACGTGATCACTTATCATTTGCTATGAATTGGCACCCATCACAAGAATCTGTCACCGTCCAAAATATGCAGAATCCAAAACACAAATTGAAAATAATCAATTGATAATAACCCATAACATTTCAACTTCATCGTGCTCACGCCAAATCAGAAGAATCAACCATACATAGAAATTTTCTTTCTTTCACTTGCGTATTAACTATGTCCTCTCGGTATGCACACATGTAATTAACTCATCACATTTCAATGATCTTTAATTAAACAATTCTTGGTTCTTAAAATTTTTTTATTACAAAAAGTTCCAGCTTTGCAACCTTTCTTTGCTTTCACACGTATTTTTATGACTTCAGCATGATATAAAAGATCATTGGTCTCTCTCTCTCTCTCTCTACCTTTCACCCTCGTATTTTGGACAGCTCAGACTACATCTAGTGCTTTTTGGGTCAGTTCCCAAATCTCAAATTCTACTCCTCCCTTCTTCTTTTTCTTCTTTTCGTGTTTATTTTTCCGTTTGATTTTAATCATTTTTCTTGCTTTGTTGTTTTGATTTTTTTAATTTTGGTTTTGATGTCTTTCTGCAACTGGGTTTTGATTCTTTCGAATAATTTGCATTTTCTTTTTATGTTTTGTTTGTTGTAGAGGTTTTCCTTTGTTTGTTTGGCTTGGTCTTCCACTGCAACCTTGTCTGCTTCAAAGGCTAGATTTTGGATAATCATTTGTGAGTTTTTGTTTCTCCTATTTTCGAATCAGTTTTTGATTTATGATGTTAATTGGATTCGCAATCTTGGTATGCATGTTTCAGCTTTGGTCAAAATTCACAGCTTCTAATTCCCCTGCCATTGTTCGAAGCTCTGAATTTCTCTGCTTTTCTGGTAAGATTCTTTAATCCTAATTCAACTACTAATTCCAAAGAATTGTAATTTTCTCTTTCTGTGAAAGGGTTCTTAAATCTTCATTCTTTGCATGTGTTCATGTTTCTACCAGTCAGCTTTCTCTGACCTTCTGTTTCTTATGTGAGTTCTTAAAACCATCAATTCTGTAAATTTTTTTATGAACAACAATCTTTCACAAAGAATCGTCAATTATGATGTATTCTCACAATTGGGTCATTAGCATTTTCTTTTTCTCCATGTGTTTTTTTGTTTTATTGCATGGGATAGAATAACAGAACTTAACTCTCTGTTTCAATTTCCCCTGTTTTTCTATACCAGCTGAGCTCTGTTTTTCGTTGAACTTTGATCAAGGATGGCCATAAAGGCAATTGAGTTGTTGAAAGGAAGTGCATCCCATGAAGAGATAGTTGAAGTTCTTGAAGCTGTGGCTGCAGATTTGGGAGATGTGATCGATGATGTGAACTCTTTGCAGGCGAAGCCTCTGAAGGGGGCAATGACCAATGAGGTTTATGAGGTAAATTGGCCAACCAAAAATGATGGTCATCAGAGAAGAGTTCTGGTTCGATTATATGGTGAAGGTGTTGAGGTTTTCTTCAACAGGTTGGATGAAATCCAAACCTTTGAGTGCATGTCAAAGCATGGACAGGGTCCTCGCCTTCTTGGGAGGTTCACCACTGGCCGAGTTGAAGAGTTCATTCATGCAAGAGTATGTGATTATCTTCTTGTGTTTCCCTCTTATTAGTTAATTCTAGGGTAAATCTCTTAGTTGCTAATACAATAATAGTGCCTGATTTATCAAAATCGTCACTTTTAGTATTTCATTTTACAAAGCGTCATTTATAAAGTTAACACTAAAGTTACCAACCCTTAAAATACAGGAGAGTAGGAAGAATTTGAGTTTTATAAAGTTATAACTAAATTTACCAACCCTTAAAATGCAAGAGTATGTGATTATCTTCTTGTGATTTGGAGAATATATGCTTTATTATTCTGTTAAGAAAGTTTTCTTTGTTGGCTTGTCTCTTTTCTATTTTATTCTCCTTTTTTTGGACATATGTACGGTTAGAATTTCCTATTAGATTAAATAAGAAGCATCTTTAGCATGTTAAATTGAATAGTATTGAGTCAATGGAAAATTTAGTGTCTAAGGCACTTGTTTTTCTTATTTTACTTTTTCAAATTTCACCCATAAATTATACCTCTTACTTTATAAGTAAAGAAATAATAATAAAACACTATTAACATTTTAAAATAGTAATAAAAGTTTTGTATTGACGTAAAACTCTAATTTTAATTAGAAAACAAACCAAAAGCACAAAAGGTGGTGCACCCGAGCTGTCCTTTTCCTATCTCTATTTAAGTCAATAAATGATCATTAGTACGTATATAACATAATGTGTAATTTATGCAATCGAGTGATTGCTTTTATCTGAGTAGTTCATTCATGCCTGAGTATGTGATTATCTTCTTTTGTTTCCCTTTTCTACCTATACGTCTTACTTTATTATTCTATTAAAAAAGTTTTTGGTAGCTCTTCACTTTTTTCCTACTTTATTCTCTTTTCCTTTGGAGGAACGGAGGGTTAACCTTTCCTCTTAGTTCTTTAGATTAAATAAGAAGCATATTTAAAATATTAAGTTGATGGTGTAGAGTCAACAGAATATTGAGTGCTCTACATGATATTTCTTACTTTATGAATTAAAAAAAAACAAACTACCAAAATAAAATAAAATACTTAATAAAAGTTGCTTATTTTGAAGGGCATCTGGAAATCTTTATGCTCAAATGAAAAGTTAAATTGGGAAGTCTTTCTTCCTCTCACTATGTTAAGTCTTAGTCAATTTTTGATCATTTGTAAAGATAGTAATGTATAATTTATGCAATCAAGCAGTTCCCTTATTTTCTACAGATATAAATATAATGGGATGACATCTTGCAGTTTAGCATTGAATGGTTTTGGCCTCTCATAATGGTCACAAGATAAACAATAGTGTTCTTTTACAGTTTCCTTGACAGGGTTTCTCTGCCTGAAACATACTGTCACTTTATATCTGAGAAAATTTCTTGATCCAGGTCATAGATGGACACTTCGTATGATGCTTGTGTATAACATACTTTTTCTTTTCCTTTTTTATTTTTATTTTCAGACACTCTCTGCTGCTGATCTCCGTGACCCTGAAATATCTGCTTTGATAGCATCTAAGATGAGGGAGTTTCACAATCTTGATATGCCTGGTGCAAGGAAGGCTCAGCTGTGGCAGAGAATGAGGTAATTATAGACCAGATCTTTTCTCAATGTCTTTTTCATTACTGTACAGAATAATATATGTTGCCCTTGTTTAACTAGGAAGTGGCTTAGTGATGCCAAAAGTTTGTGCTCCCGAAGGGATACCAACAATTTTCGCCTGGACAATCTAGATGCTGAAATAAACATGCTTGAAGAGTTGTTATCTGAAGGAAATCAAGATATTGCTTTTTGTCACAATGACCTACAATACGGTAACATAATGATAGATGAAGAGACAAGAGCAATCACTTTAATTGTAAGTTATCTTGCTATATGTTGATTATGTATTCTCTGTTTCTGGCCTTGCTTCTGTTCTTTTAAATTTGTACAAATTTGAGATCGGTAATTTTGTCTTTAGATTGTTGAACTTTCACATTCTAGTTTAGTCTTAATTCGATTTCTGGATCTATTTTTCAAATCAAGCTTTATGATCTGATAGTTGATGTGGTCTTCATTTTTCATTTCCAACAGTTACTATGCATGAAAAGTTGTTCATGAACATAATATTATGAATTCCATATCATGCCAATGTTGGGAAGATGATAGATGCTAGCACTTTTATAGTGTTCTTTTCATATTTCATTGTTCATATCTTTTACAGAGAACTTATTTCTCATTCCTGTTGTTTATTTGTCAATGATATAGGACTACGAATATGCGAGTTACAATTCTTTTGCATATGATCTGGCAAATCATTTCTGTGAAATGGTGGCCAATTACCATAGTGACGAACCTCATGTTCTTGACTACAGTAAATATCCTGGTAAAGCAGTTACTGATATATTTTACAGCATCTATTACTTTTCTACAATGATTATTTGGTGTCTATATTTTATGCTTATTGAGATCACTCTGCTGAGACACCAATTTGTATATGGTATATCAGGTCTGGAGGAGCGTCAAAGGTTTATTAATAACTACTTGAGTTCTGAAGGTTAGTCCACTGACAATTTCACTCCAAAAATACATATGATTGGGACTTAGATAACTGCTGTTGATCCATTCTCAGCTAGGAGAATAAACTTGTTCTCTAATTTGATTGACTTTTATTATGTGTGATACCTAATCTACTCCAGCATCTATTTCTAAATCATTTTTATTTATAGCATCTTATATGTGATTATGTAATTAAAACCTCATCTTGCTTAAATTGCAAGCCCATAAATGTATGAAAAATAAACAAGGGTGGGTGGGCTTTGACAACCCCTGGAGGCCGGGGAAACAGCCTATCTTCTTATTGGAGTAAGGCTGCATATATATCTACCCTCCGCAGATGAGTCAGATCACACTTGAATCCCACACTTGATCGGAGTTGCATGCATTGGGTTGCGCTTTTTTAAGTGTATTAAAAACAAATATGAAAGTCTTCTGTTTAGTCTTGCATTATCAAAATGTGCCTAGACTAGTCATCTGAACAGTCAGAATTGTATCACAGTTTGCAATATCAAGTGACTTAGTCGTCACTGATGTAGGAGCATGCTATTTGTTTTATTTATTGGCTGATTTACTCAATTTCAGTGTAGGCACAATGCGAGTCTCCTTCACCCCTCAACTTCAATGTTAATGTAATTCTAATAATTGTTTTCATATTGACCAAAGTTAACTCACATTCAAGCCTTCAAAATGATGTTTATAAAAACTGAATTCATAATAATATCAAACACAATGCTTCTGAATTTCATACATGTTTACTGATTTTAATTGGAAACTTGTACACAGATAAGAAACCAAGCAACACTGAAGTGGAGCAGTTAGTGAATCTCGTAGAAAAGTACACTCTTGCAAACCATCTATTTTGGGGCTTGTGGGGACTTATATCGGTAAACTTTTTCTTTTCTTATTTTTATTTTTCTGGTTATTCTAAAGTTCAATTATGTATGCTAAGTGTGTTACATTTTGAGGTGCAGAGTTATGTCAACAAAATTGACTTTAACTACAAGGAGTATGCAAGGCAGAGGTTTCAGCAATACTGGTTAAAGAAGCCTACTTTATTGGACTCGCCAAGTATCATTTATCAAGATGGAATTGCCAATAGTTCACTAGCACCCTTGACATGATTGCTTCTTATGACTAGTATATAGATTTTGGTTTGTATTCATATATGATATAGAAAGGCATGATATGCTGCATAAAATCTGTAAATAATATCAAAAACTGTGTGGAGTTTTGACTATTTTTACCACAATTGTTAGCAATTTGCTCTTATATGGAATTGAGTTCAGCTATGAAACTGAAATTCCTAGTTATGGAATAGATGGCTTACAAACCTGTGAAACGAAATTTATGGTTTGCATGCAGTGAGAAGATCATAAAGCAACCGCTAATACATCAAATAATCCATTGATGTGATTACTTAGACAAATTGAATGTAAAGACAAAGTACTATGTTTCAATCTTTTTTACGAAAAGTTGTAGCTTTACAAATACTCAGTACACGTGATGGTATCTTGGAGAAAACTTTGTAAATTATTTCGATCTCTTTCCCTAACCAATTCTTTATTTTTGGATAAATATTTCTTGTTATGTTGGATGTATGCAAGTAAATGCTGTATAACTTAATAACTGGGTTAAGCCTCCTCTGCACTGCAACAAACTTCCCTTCGTTTTTCTTTTTATCTATATATTAAAACATTATTTAATATAGATTTTATTTGTGTAAATAAAATTGAGTTGATTACGTCATAAAACATCAAAGGTGAAAGTCAACACACAAGTAAATAGCTAATCTTTAGTGGCATGATTAAGGCAAAAGTCAACACATTAGTAGTGAGTTTTACCAAAAAATTAGTAAAACAATTTAATTGATTCAATTTATGAAAAAAATTAGGAATTTTATGTATAAAAAATTGACATAAAAAAATAAATTTATTTAGTTTTTAAAAGGAAAAACTTAGCTAAAAAAATTCAAAATCATATTACACATTGCAATTTAAAGGAACAAAAATCTGCCGTCTTTATTCGATTGTCTTTTCCTTCAAGAAAGCATGGTCGTTGACAACAAGAAGTGTGAGTGTGAAGTTCTGTTTGTGGATATTGTCGTTATTCATATAAGCGTATACTGCCACATGCACGCATGTAATATATAATTTTGTTTCATACACACCAAAATTTTTTAACACTTTAAACCAGACAACTTGTTGATTCGGTCGACGTAGTAAAGTTACAACAAAATCTTTTAAAGTTAGACTAACAGATTGAATTCCTAAATAAATCTTCTAAATTTACGAAATAACTATCGTATAATGATTTCTCCTCTTCCATTTTGGTGCATGTAAATTGTATGTGCCCAACTTTCACAACAAGGAGTTGAATTGAGTGAGACCAATAGCCTTAGTAAAAATATTAGCCAACTGTGCATGTATAGGGACATAGGTTGGTGCAATATTTTTTTTAAAATACTCATCAAGTACAAAGTCGCAATCAACCTTAATGTGCTTAGTGCGCTTATGAAAAACCGAGTTCTTAACTATAGAAAGCGTTGCTTGACTGTCATAGTGAAAGCGTAGGATGAGGATGGGAGACACCAAGACAACGAAGAAGACTCTTTAACCAACTAAATTCTCCTATAATGGCTCCCATGGAACAACATTCGACTTTAGTAGAGGAGCGTGATACCGTTTGTTTTTTTCAGTTTTCTTGGAAATCGAAGACGATCTTAATAGAATGAACCATCTAGTAAATGACTTGCGAATTAAAGGACAGTTGGCCCAATCCGAATCACACTAACCAGATAATTGCATATCACATTTCTTACTCAACAAAATTCCTTATCCTGTATACAATCTGAAAGCTCAGGCCTAGTAAAGTGAAGGTAAACAAGATGACCTACTAATATGAAGAAGAGGCAAATCATCAGCAGGTGCCAAATGATGATTCGGTTCCATTGGCATACTTGTTGGCTTAGCTCTTAGAAGTCCAGCTTTGACTACAATATAAAGAGCATATTTTTGTTGACAAAAAAAAAATACTAGCTAAAAGACTGCACCACTTCAACACCAATAAATATTGTGTCCGAATGTCTTTCATGTGAAAACAAATATATAAATAAATATTTTCTCTTGAGATGATGATGTCATCAACATAAACCAACACTACAAGATGTACCCATGGCTTTTGCAAGACAAAGAGAGAACAATTTGAAATAGATTGCTTAAATCCATAATCTTTTAATGCAACTTTTCCAACTTTGTGAACCAACATTGAGGTGCTTGTTTGAGTCCATACAAGAACTTATTAAATTTACATACCATACTGGATTGTTGAGGAAGAAAACAAGGTGGTGATTTCATGTAAACGTCCTCCTTAACATGCCCATGTAAAAATGCTTTGTGCACATCCAGCTGATGCAATATCTAGCACCGTGTGTATGATTACCATTTTTGCAACAGGTGCAAAATTCTCTATTTAATTGATTCCCTCCACTGCCAAGAATCACTAGCCTTGCTTTGAACCTTTTGATACTTCCATCAAATTTGTGCTTTATTTTGTACACCCATTTGCTCCCAAGTGCTTTCCCAAAAGGCAATGATGTCCCTGACTAAGTTCCATTGTTCTTAAGTATTTGAATTTCACTTTTCATGACCTTTCTCCACCGATTGTCTTTTATTGCATTAGTATATTTGATATACTCTTTGTCCTATGAAATAGAGGCAAGGGAAACATGATGTGTAAGAGAAAAATGGTCATAATTCACATAATTAGTTATAGGATAGAATGCACTTGAGTTCACCATTGAAGAGGTTGAACAGTTGGATGGCTCAAACTTCTAGTGGTATTTGTTACATAAACCCATAAGTGAGTAGAAGGTTGTTCGGTTCTGTGTCCTTTACCCAATGCCAACTTAGTTGGTGGCATACACAGGACTATTGTGTCTTGCTCATTCATATTCTGTAGCGCAACAGCCTACTCATCAAACCCGACTTCTGGCTCACCCCCCAAATATTTATTTTCATATTGCCACTTTCTTTAGTATCTTCTATTTGTTCTACATTTACTACACCGTCAAACACATCATTTACGAGATCTTTGTAGTCCTAAGTAGATGAAACATCTTTCCTGGTAGAAACATCAGTGGCAAATGGATATTTGTTCTCAATGAACTCAACATCTCCGAGAGACAAAAATCTCCTCTATTTCTATGTCAAATAGCTTCCATCCTTTCTTCTTATATGGGTAGCCAATGAAAACACACTTCTTGCTTCTACAGACAAACTTATGACCATTCCTTCTTTGATCATGAGCATAACAAAAGGAGCCAAATATTCTTTGGTGGTCATATACAAGTTGTAACATCCTTATTTTATTTATACAAATTGTAAAACAATGTTATATTGGAAGAGGAATTAAATTAAATTTGCTAATATTCATAATATAAGATTTGAGAAAAATTAAAACTTTCGTATCTCTTATTCGAGTTTACAAACTATTCCATCAGTAAAGCAATAGGAAATAAATAAATTTAGACAAAATATAAATATAAACCAGTTTCATTACTGTACAGGAGTTTCATAATTACATAGCTTGATTCCAAAAATGCGTTAGGACTTATATACATTAATTATAAAAGATACAGTAAGTTCTAATGAGCAGTAATCTCACACCAAGTGATTAAAGACCATCTTAGTCATCATTCCTAAACCATCCTTCTATCTTGGCTTATTCTTTTTGAAATATGTTCATGTCTTCGCCGAGATCGCTCGTGTTGGCCATTACCTCAGTACCAGTAACCCGCTTTGAGGTAAATCAGCTTGGTCTTCTATATCAATCATAATCTAGAAAAGTATACACATAATTCATCGTATCTAGTGGTCTGACCAATCCTCTATATATATGTACAAGCAAAAAGTATGGTGGATTCGACCACTACTAGGGTAATCAAAGAAAATATCATATCCTATTGTCATTTCTAAGGTAAATACAATGTCAAAACCATCATTACTATTTATAATAAACTACAATGGCATAACCTCTATCACTCCCTACATACATAGTTTAGTCTACTACTAATAAGCAACTCTGATAGTCTTACGAGTTTTTGGGAATCTGTCATCTTTATTCCTTGAAAGATTTTGTAAGGATGAGGATGGGAATCAATAAAAAAATACAACTTCATTTTCACATACATACACTAATCATTAATATTATGATTTTTATTCTATTTTTTTTATTTTTCTATTCTTAAATTTTTCATTTCAAACTTTCACTGCTCCTGAAATCTCTTGAGGTCTTCCTTATATAGATAGTTGATGGATAGCCGCAGCTACATGGATACAGCATGTGCGCTGACCCGACCCTTTTTAGCAAAAGTATGGTTAGGAGTTTAGGTCAGGAGATGAGTGAGACTTGTGCTCTTACTCTTATTAATATGCACAAATCAAGAAAAACATCCACCACCCTCGTTTCTCCAAGATTTCTAAAATCACCTCTATCTTCCACACTCCTAGTGTATCTCTAAACTATACACACTTGTTCTTATCATCCTTCCTTTCTCATCACCACTCTTCATATTTCTCATCATGATCTAAACTTCGTACTTTCACACTAACATATTGTTCATCTTTTTCTTATTCTATTTATTCAAGTTCAATGCCTATCTCACATATTAATCATTCATTGCCTATATCATATATCAAACATTAATTGTCGAAGATCAAGTACCTCCAGACTTAGTCCACAACGTGCACACATGTATATACATTCAAAACATAAATCATTCAAATCATTAAAGACAAGTAAAATCATATTTCATTCAAACATATATTTACAAGCAAATAATACATAACATTTTCATGGCACAAATCCATCATGTTCTCAGTAATGGAATAAAGCTCTTCTTACCTCAAATAAACAAATTTTGTGAAGAAGTTAATAAAAAAAGTTGTCCAAAAGACTAAGATCTTCCTACATATAATAAAGAAGAGTACCTTTGATAAGAGAAAAAATAGAGATGAGAACAAAGAGCTAAACTCTAAGATACTCACTAGCGATTCTGTAGAGTGAAGATTCAAGCTTGGATTTAAAGCAAGTTCGGAGCTCAGAGGAGTTTCTTTGGAAAAAGGGAAGAGAGACTTCAGAGAAAAAGAGTTGGAAATGTTTCTTGGATTGTAATGCAAGTTTCTGAGTTGGAATTTCTTAAATACACCTCAATTCTCACGCGCTTTCACTTGAGCAAGCAGGCTCTCGCTTGAGCGAGAACATAGGTTGTTGTCCATAAACCATCTTATGGAATTTTTCCATTTGAGATAGAGGAAGGAGTTTGATTAATCAAGTACCATGTGGTGAAAATATATTCTCCCCAAAATTTGATAGGAAGGTTACCCTAGAGTTATAAATCTTGGACAACATTCAAATATGTTTATGTTTTCGTTCCACTCTTCCATTTTGTTGGAGTATAGTAGTGTAAGGTGTTTGAAAAATTATTCCAGATCTAAAAACTATCTTCTCATGCTTGTGAATTTTGTCTTATTATTGCTTTTGAACGTTTCACTTGTTTATAAATTGTCTTTCAACCAAAGCGAAAAAGTTACAAAGCATTTATGGTCCTTCTCGTTTATTAGTTAATAAGTAGATCCATATAGTAAAAAAATAGTCATCAACTATTGTCAGAATATAAAATGCAACATCAGTGGAAGGAGTTCTATATGCTCCTCGTAATTCACAATGAATTAATTAAAAACTTCACTAGATTTATATTCACTTAAAGGAAACTTTTCTATAATTATTTTGGCTTTAAAACAAACCTCACATGTCTTATTCATCGTATTGCAATCTTTATGTTTACTAACTACAGGTGTCAACTAAGTAATCTTTAAGAAAGGATGTTCCAAATACTTGTGCCACAAATTTATCAAACGCATTCCATCAATTTTGTAGGCTTTCACTCTTCGTACTTCCTTGAAAAGATAGAGCCCATTCTTTTGTTCACCCTCTAATCAGTATCCTTGAAGTATGTTCCTCCTGTATAACATATATATTATTAGTGAATTGGAAGACACATTTCAATTCATCTATCAACTGGGAAATATATATTAAATTGCAACTCAATTTAGGCACACAGAGGACATTAGTAAGTTTTAAGCCTTCATCTAGGACCACACTTCCTTCTTTGATTGTTATTGTACATTGTCCATTGGAGAGTCCAATGAGACAGCTTTGAATATCATGCAGTTTGTGCATATGGTTCAGGTTTCAAGTCATGTGGTTGGAAGCTCTTTGTCAATTATCCATGTATTGATATCATGCTCACCTACTAACTTGTCATTAGACTTCATTTTCTAAGAATTTAGTAATTCTACCAATATTTGCCACTGATCTATTATGTGTAATAAAAAACAGAAGTGAAATCAAATTAAAACTAACCTCTATCCATTGCAAATTAATTCCAACCAAACACAGTTTTGATTTTCTAAACTCTCACTCAAAACACAATGGTGTTGTTTTTTTAATAGAAGAGCAGATTTAGTGATTCAAAATAAATGAGCATATGAAATATTTATAGGCCTCTTTATCTATCATAGAGCTCAAAATGTGGAGACATTAATGGAATTCTGAAAAACTAGCAAAAATAAAACCTCTGCATACAAAACAGAATGTGAATAATGGAGATAGATAGATCACATTATGCTTCTAAAAATTAGGAATTGAAACTAACATGAATTTCTAACATTTTCCCACTTGGTTCATTTATCCCATTATCAACTATAATGAGAAACTAAATATATGAATCATGGTGACAGTTCCTTTAATGATGAGTATTATCTCCCATGTATAACTATATATCAAGTTTCTCAATACTAACTCACAACTTAATGAATAAACCACATGTTTACTAAAGGTCAAAACTACATGAAATTTCTCAAAGTAAATAAACAAATATGTACACAAAATAAATGGAAACATCAAAACTGAATAAGAGTCGTATCAAAATAATAAAAGTATCTATAATGATCGTCACATTATGGGATTGTAACACCCTTATTTTTGTTATTTATTATTTTTGTATTGTATGTGAATTGTTAATGCATGTTGTTTGAAATTAAGAGAGTTATCGATGTGTAAGTTTTAAGATTTCTCACTGTAGCAAGATGTGTCTCGATGTAGTGAGCGTCCAGAATCAAGCTCTATAACACTCTCTTGCTGTAGCGAAGAGCTCTCGCTGTAGCTAAAATGACAGATAATAAGGAGAAAATATGTCTAGTTTTTTCGCTGCAACGAGAGAAGGACTTGCTATAGTAAGAAATAGTTCGTTGTAGCGAAAATGTCGTGAGTTGAAGGCTATTTAAGGGTTTTTAAGTTGAGAAACTTGGATTATAATTTAAGTTATGATCTCTCTCCATTTCTTCTAACCTCTCTCCCCCTTTTACTTAAAAAAATCTTTGAAAAACCCCAACCTTTCTCCAATTCAAGCTTGAAAGTTCACTCTTCTTACTCTTTGGTAAGTTCTTAAAGCTTGATTCTCCATTCCCTTGGTTATTTTCTTGTTTTTCACTTCTAAATAGGATCTCTTGTGCTATTTAGGAAGAACCCAATGTTTTAAGCAAGATCTTTCACAAATCTTTTCTAAACTTCTATTTCAAGGTAAGGAGAACTCTACCTTGTTGTTACTAAAAACTTGTTATATTTGTACTCATGAAAAGAGTTTGTAGTGTGATGCATGATTGTGAATATATGTTAGATTGAAACATGTTTTCATGTGTTGGATGATGTGAATGATGTCTATTTTGAGCATATCAATATGTATGTATGTTATGGATTAAGTCTGGAGGTGACCAACCTTCGACAATGTTTGATTAGTATGTGATATAGGTAATGAACTTGAATAAAAGAGAGAGAAGAAAGGATGAACAAAATATTAAAGTAGAAATGCCAAGTTGGATTTTGATGAGAAATGTGAAAAGAGAAATGAAATGAGAAGGAAAATGATAAGGACAAGTATGAATAGTTCTGAGATACAGTAAAAGTGTGGTAGATGGATGCAATTTGAAAAATCTCGTGAAAATGAGAGTAGTGCTTATTCTTCTTAATTTACGTATAACAACTGAGAGTAAGAGCACCATAGGCTTCACTCATTTCTTGACTTAAATTCTTGACCACACTTTTACTAAAAGGTGCCGAGTTGGCATACATTGTATCCATGTAGCTGCAGCTATCTAGCAACTATCTATGCTAAGGAAGACCTCAAGAGATTTGGGGCAGTGAGAGTATGAAATGAGAACTCCGAGTATCAGCAGAGAGAAAAAGTAATAAACTAAATAATTAATGATTGTTGCATATATATGAATATGATTTTGTGACATGGTTAATTATTGTAATGCTTTTGTTTCTATGGTGTGACTTAATTGTGAATGTATGTTTGATAACGAGATTAGAGACTCATCCTTATATAACCTTTCAGAAAACCGTGATGACAACGCCCAGAGAGAGAATTAAACTTATAGATAGTTCTGTACAATGTAAGTCAAATTATGTATTTAATGAATATCAGAGAACTTGTCATTTTAAGTTTGTTGTACACATGGACGATATACCTAGGAATATTATTATGATAGAAATAGAATTTTACTAAAGTATGCCTTTAAATTTTCCAGTAAATAATAGGATCTATCACACCTTATATATGTATTTTTATCAAGGCACAGTTAGAACTCCGTCAGCTGTAACCTACCTGTTCACTTATTATGATCATGACTTTCTTGGGAGGCGACTCGTGTCACTTTGAGCGAGTTTTGGATGTAGAAGTCACTGCAAACTCCGTAGATTTCTATCTCGGATTAGATGATGATCTTGATTCCAAAGACCTTGCTGAGGTAGAGGGATAGCATGGGAACGACTAGTATCGTCTTCAGTCTCTTGGTTGATAGACTGTCCATTAGGACTTGTTATATTTTGTATTTTGTAAGGGATGTAGATGATTCTTAATGTATTTTGACGTCATATTTTGTAAATGTTAATCTCTTGTAAACTTTTGTGAACAATTAAACTAATGTTATTTAACTTTCCTTTCTAATTTTGTTAAATTCTCGTTACTTTGTTATTTAAATTTTTATATGTTGAGTAAAGTAAATGAAAGGTTTTAAAATCCCACATGTATTCGACTTGCAAATGAATTTAATTAAATTTTTCCTTCTTAACTCTGAAATTATTTTCTTATTGCTTTGAGATAAAGTGATGATGTTACATGAACCAAGTCTCATTTATACTACGTGATCCTTAAAATTCTTTGGTGACATGTCTTTAGTCAAAGGATTGACAATCATGAACTCAGTGCTAATATGCTCAATAACTACTTTTTTTTCTTTAACATGTTCTCTTATGACTAAATATTTAATGTCGATGTGTTTATTTCAACTTCTACTCTTGTTATTATTAGCCATAAATACTATAACAAAATTGTCACAATACAACTTCAATGGCCTAAAAATAGTCTCTATAATTCTAAACTCAAATATAAAACTCTTCAACCATACATCATATGAGGTATCCTCAAAACAAGAAACGAACTTAGCCTCCATAGTGAAAGTAGCAGTCAGGGCCTGTTTCGCATTGCTCTAGAATACAACTCCACAAACTAGCATAAAAATGTACCCGATGTAGATTTTTTGGTATCAATGCAGTCAGCGAAGTCTGAATTAGAGTAGCCTATCACCTCTAAATCATCAGTCTGTCTGTATATGAACATGTAATCCTTTATTCCTTGAAGATATCTCATTACCTTATTTGCATCTTTCAAATGGTCAACATATGGATTACATTGATGTCTTTCCAAAACTTCAACTACAAGTGCAATGTCAAGTCTAGTGAAACTTGAGCATACATAACTTTTAACAGCTAAAACATATGGAATATTTTTTATGTTTCTACTCAAGGTCATTTTTCAAGCACTGACTCAATTCAAGCCTATCACCCTTAAAAATAAGAGTTACAATTGGTGAACAAAATCTTTCATGTTAAACATCTCTAAAACCTTGTTGATATAGGACTCTTAAGACAAATTCAAAATGCCTCGGGATCTTTCTTTATGGATCTTAATGCCTATGACATAATTACTTGAAGATAATCTTTCTTAGATTAGAGAAAATGTCTCTTTGTGATTGATTCCTTCTCTTTAAGTAACCTTTTGGCGACAAGTCTTATGTTATCTCTCTCAATGTTGTTGTGTGCGTCTTTCTTTATTTTAAAGACTCGTCTACATCCAATGGCTTTTACATCCATAGAATTCATGTCATCTTTCATGGCATTGTACCATAAATTTGACTCCTTAGAATTTATGGCCTGTGAAAATATTTCAGGATTATTTTTGGTTACTATGTTATAGTCTGATTCTTGTAAATACACCACATAGTCACTAGAAATTGCTGACTTTCTGACTCTACTAGAACTTTTTAATGTTACCTCATTATCCTGATGAGGAACATGTTCAACTAATTTCTCAACATGTTCTTAAACATTTACTTGTTGCTCCTCGTCAACAACTCAATCCATAGTATCAACTTCAACAACTTGTGGAACTTCAATAACTAGTTGTCTAACACACTTTTGAATTGGAGGGGCATGAATGACTACTAAATTGTCATTTGATTCAAAGGATTCAGCTTCATAACGATTTGTTTCAAGAGCAGTGTCTTGAAACAAATCACTCCCACTAATCAAATCATTTTTAAAAAACTTTTCATTTCCTGATTCCATAATTCTAGTGTTACAAGATGGACAATAGAACATATACCCTTTGGACTTGTCAGCATATCTAATGAAATATTCACTAATAGTCCTAGGGTCAAGTTTCTTCTTTTGTGAATTATAAATTCTCACTTCAGATGCCCATCTTCAAACGCATATATGTCACAAAATAGGTTTGCAACCTTTGAATAACTCAAATTGTGTCTTTGAGACAGCCATAATCAAAACTCTATTTAATATATACACAGTGATCTTAAGTGCTTCAATTCACAAAATTAAGAGAGTTTTGCATTACTCCTCATGCTTCTCACCATGTCCATTAAAGTTTGACTTCTTCTTTCTACCACACCATTTTGATCCAGAAACTAGAAATATTGTACTAGACAACAATCCTATGTTCTTGAAGAAATTTTACAAATGAACGAGGTGCTTATCTATTCTCTATGTATCTACTATAATATTCTCCACCTCTATCTGGTTTCATAATCTCAAACTACTTGCATCTATGTCTGGACAAAAAATATTTGTATGAATGATTTCCAATAGATTTGAACTTCTTTTGGTACCAATTTTAAACTTGTTAGTTTGCTTACCTTTAATTCAGTTTACACAAGTCTCAAAATTAATAAAGTCTAAAGCACTAAGTACTCTTTCATTTACTAATTTAATTCTCCCAATGGAGATGTGTCTTAATATTCAATGCCACAACATAGAGGATTCTTCGTTCAATAATGTGCATAAAATTACAAGCAACATTATTTTATAAAATAATAGAATAAAGTCATGGGAGACTTAAAAGTGTAAGGATGTGGTTAACTCGATTCAAATTGAAGACTTTCAGATATCAATCACCAATGTTAATGGATAAATGATTTAATCAAGTTATGGGAGAACGTTTATACAAAACATGAGTTGGTTAGCTGAAGTGTCATTCTGGAGTTAGCTCATAGGGACATTGTTTTCGTGACTTTAGTTGACTAGGAAGGTGTTTATTTCATGGTTACCTAACATTCTCTTAAAATACTTGTAAACATGTTCTACGACTTGAAAAACGTGGTGGATAGGCGTGGGAAATAGTTGATTAGTAGTTTAGTCTATAAATAATCATCAATTTGAAATTGCACAGGCTCAATCAAACATATTTTATTCCTCTATATTTATCTTTGTTTTACATTTATTGCATTACATATTGCTTTATGTCTTAGTGTAACTTAATTTCTTATGATTCCTTAGTTGACACCTAGCTTTCCCATACCCAAAAGTGGCTCTTCTGCCACCAGTCATTTTAACCGCTTCCTAAAGTTTTTAGGAACCCACAATTAAGGAATAAACTTCCTTCCTTAACGCAATCACCTAACAAAGGAGAATCAATTGGATTTGAGCATCAACAAATTCCAATGCCAGAGCCAGTCAAATTTTAGCATAAAACAAGTGAGAGAGCCTCACAACTTAAATATCACATTATACTTTTATTTTACTTAACGTCGAACTCATAACAAGCGCGCTCGACAATACCAGTTAATAGAACTTTGCCTTCATTTTACAAAACTCAATAATGTTATTTGCACGTTTTATTATACTGTGTTTGTACTAATATTTAAGAAGAAAAACACTCATTTCATCAAATTATTTATATTTTTCTCTCAAATAAGGTAAAAGAAATTACGCAAAAAAAATATAAAAAATAAAAAATTGGAATGCATCCCAATTTCAATTTACTCAAAATTTGGTTTGGTTGGAAGAGCATGCCATAGACCATGGATGATTGCTGAAATCATTTATATTATTACGTTAACTTCAGAATGTTATATTGCCTTACAACTACGCTCGATGATTAATTCCAACTTCAAGGTTTAATTTCAGGATAAAAGTACATACATATTAGACAAAAGGAGAAGCCATGGAACAAAGACTATCAACAACAGTGTCTATCATAGCATGAGAATCACTGGTACCAGCAAATGAAAGGTGTTTTGGAGCTTCGGCTCTATCAAAATAAAATGCACCTGATACCAGTTTCTCTTTTGGTTGTAATGTCAACCAGATGACTGTGTCCGCACCTTCTTCACTTGTTCTAAGCTTCCCTGAAAGCCTGTAAATAATTGAATCAATACATAATTATTCAAATGGTGCCAAATCATAGTTTATTTTTGTTTCTTCATTGATGGAAGAATTATTTCAATCACAAACTATCCTGGAACCAAAAGTGTGACACAAGTCCACATCAAATTGTGTGGAAATTTAATTTAACTAAGAAGAATAAGCGGTAACAATAATCCAACTCCTGTCATATGCATGTTTGATTAACTTAATTTTTGAAAAGCTTAAATAAGTTATTGGTCCCTAAAACCGTAAAGGATTGATAACTTAACTTAAATCCAAAATAATATCAGTTCCCTAAGGTTTAGGGTTTAGGGTTTAGAATGTTTTAATTGTAACAAACAATAGGTTATATGGAATGTCAAATATGGATTATGTAAGGACAAACAATACTTACGTTTTAGAGAAGCTGGGCAAACTCTTAGCAACCCCAGGAGTCTCAGCCCAACCTGGGTGCATTGAGTAAAATCCTATACCTTTGTTCTTGTATGTGTCAGCCCATTTTTCTGTTAGTGCAACCTGGTATCAAATATATCATAATTTTACATAAATACAGACACATGAAAAAATTTAAAAGAAACAAACTCAACTAATCTCTTTTACATGCCTCCTAGATTCTATCCAAGAAATTAGGATTTTAAAATATATGAAATGCAAAGATATCATCAAACAAAATTTTAAAACTGTTTCACTAGATATCAAATAGTACTACTACTGCAGTTTTCTGTTCATATCGATATATGTAGTTATACACCAAGCATTTTATGATTATCGTCCACTGTTATATAAAATTTTTCCAACACAAACAAGTAAACCATATGGTATCACAAGTTCTGAAAATTGTTAAAAGCTTTGAATTTAAAGTAAATGAAGAACCTTTGACACTTTTACTTATTATGCAAAGAGTGTTAAATTGATAGTAGATTGAATTTAAACCTATATAAATCAAATTATTGTACGTAAAGTTTCTGCACTCAAAAGAGTCAACTTTTGAAAACTAGTAACTAGATACAGTGATCATAGCACCAACTCGTTCACAACACTATGATCTTCCAATTTTCGAACATTCAATTACAGAAGCAGACCTAATAGTTTCTTAATATGTTTCCACCAGTTTTCTGGGTGTTCTGAACTGGAGAATCAAACTAATTTACCGATAATTTATCGTTATTAGACACATTGGATTTGACAAATTGCGAAAAAAGTAATATAATAAATTTAAACAAAAAAAAGTTATGAACACGTAATAGTTGATCACTACAAGCATTCCCTTCCAGTAACCCAAAAAATATTTTGCTGGAGGTCGACATCCTAATATTTGTCACACTAGATATCAATGCTTAAGAATAGAACTGTAACACTCCTTTTCTGCAGACTTGTCAGTTAGACCTGGTCAGGGTGAACTCGGCCACAACCAAGTGAATGCACTGAATGAAGGAAACGGTTATATGTGCAATTGATAATTTTTTTTTATATAGATTAGATAATTATTAATTGCTTGTGATTGACTTGCAGTGACGCTAAGCTTGTCTGGGGTCATTTAGTAATGGTACCAATATTTGTCAAGTGAGATTTTTGCAGTCTCACAGGCTAGAGTGGTTAATGTCTGTTTAATTTATTTATCGATGAAAGACTTTAGAGTATTTCATAGTGTCTTGCTTTAGAGAAAATTTGTATTGGAGTCGGGGAGTGGAATGAGAATCAAGTTAGTAATGTGTAATTTGTCATTGTAAGAAGAAAACTTTTTTCTTTTACGATATTAATCATTGTGTTTGTCTTCTTCTTAATTCCAATACTTAATATAGACCATTGATCCTTATCATATGAAGGGATCTCAACTCTTGAACTTTTCCTTTATTATGTATTTTTCCTAAAAGCTAATTTCATTGCTTGGTAAATCTTGACCCATAATTCAAAATTTTGCATGCAAACACTTGCGTTTCATTAGGATTTTCTTCTCGTTGCCTAAGAGACCGAGAAGCTCCATAGGTACGTGCAAGCTCTCCTACTTCTCCTTTTATGCCATTTTCAAGCTTCATTTTTATCTCCTTCTCGGCTTCTCTTTCTATTTTCCTTTCTCACCTTTCTTCTTCCTCCAACTTGTCCTTAGCTAGATAAAACTCCAAGGAAAAAGTATCCAAAGACCCTATCTGTGCCTCTTTCTTGAAGGGTTGAAGGGGAACACCAAGTGGATCTTGAAAGCAAAGTATTGAACCTCCATTTTAAAGAGAACGTCAACTTTTATGCCTCCCTTTTCTTTCCTATTCGTGCCTAGCCTAAACACAGTACAAGGGGGGGGGGGTTCTCATTCGTATGTTTTAGGTAGTTCTTTATGGTGAAAAACAGAGTCTTTACTAGGCAACTCTCTTTGCATTGGCCTTTAAATGCATGGATGCTTGATTCCTAACTGTTTATGTAGTCTTTTCTACTTTCTATCACCCTTGCATGTTTCTGTTTGGTGAAAATAAATATTATGTTTATGTGCGTAAATAGTTCTGAGGCAGATTCTATGTGCTTTAGAAATGCTACTACTTATGGCCATGCCTTTTGTGTTTAATGAGAGTTTCAAAGAAAAATGTGTTATGGGTCATACCAAATATACACGAAATAGACGTTTTGCTGTTTCCCTTTATGAAGGGTGCAACCAAGAGGAATGAGGGGTTGTAGGGTGTGAAGATAAAAGAAGTTTTATTCTTACCCTTGGAGAAATGAGACTGAGAGAAGAGCGAAACATTGGAGTGGAAAAGTTACACCAAAAAGTGGGAGGAATTTCAAGAAAATGAGTATATAAGATTTAATACTAAACATGCTAAAGGAACAAGAATAATGAACTCAGCATTTTTTCTATAATAAAAGAATAACACCAAGGAGGTAATAAATGCCCATTCACATAGATAAACCTCTCAACAATTAGTAGAATAAGAATAGTAAGAGAACTTATGAGAGAACCTATGTAAAGCACGAGTCCACGGCTGATGCCACTTAGAAGTGTATAAGTTTAAGAATACCATAATCCGGAATTTTTTTTCTAAAAGAAAAGAAATGACGGTAGCATAATCCTTATGAATGTGGTGTAACAAACAAACATTTGTATGAAATCTTGCATGATGCAAGAAGGAATACATAATGGAAATGACCATGAGGCCACGAGGCTTGTATATGATGAGTGCCACTAAAATGATAAAAGTGATTGATAAATTCAAACTAAGATAACACATGCATCATGTGTATAAAAGGATGACATAATCGTAGAAGTTATAGTTCAGTACAATGGTGGGATGATGGGTGTCCAAGTTTCAAGGGAACTTTGAGGGTGGCTTAGGGGTGATGCCCCAATGGCACAAAATAGCTCCCTACTGGCCGGACTAGTCGCCTGCAACCTTTAATCATCCCTAACGCGGACACGAGTCATGATAGGTCCATTCATTAAGTCACCCATGAGGCAAGTGAGATGTTTCAATGTTCACGCAATGCATTGAAGCATTAGTGTGTTTGAGGCCCCCATACATGCAATAAAAGTTATCTTTAAGAAAATAATTTATAATGAACTTGCATCATGCATCATACAACATATGGAATGTGTGTTTGAACTTATGCATGTTTACTTGATTAATATTAATAGCATAACCATTGAAGGATCTTGTTTGTGTAATTGATGTAAGGATGTGAACTTATCCTTTGCATTATTGCATTTCTTCTTCTCTTCTCCCTTGGCATTGTAACGCATGTGATAGATGAGCCAAGAGTTGATGGGGTTTTGGGTACTGCCCTCCAAGGAGAAGGCGTGGACCTATGAGCCCTTTATCCACCAACACACTCATCACAGACTGGTCACCGTGGGATTTGGAAATATGACGAGTGAAGGTTGGTGAGGCCAACATATCGATGATGTAGATGCAAAGATCTTTGTGCCCCTTCCACTAACTGAGTACCACCTGCCATAGACTCCAGATGCTACTTAGACTCTATAGCCCAAACCTAGGATTGATCTATATTTTACTCTCTACCCTCTACCCAGAACAATCGAAGAGCCTAAAGAGGAGTCGACGCCCCCTCTAGTTGTGTCTGCTGACACTATCCTTAGGCAAGATCATATGGGCATTGCCCCTCCCCCAACACCGCCACCAGAGTCTATAGTTCCACCCAAGCTGGAACTGCAATTAAGAGATATTTAAGTAATCGAGTCCACGGTCAGACCACATCCCTTACCGACACCCTCGACCACCATCAGAGCTTCAGACGAGGCTGGACCGTTTAGGCATCCTCCTCCTCTAAAGATGCATATCCATTCTCAATCTCCAGCCCTTACTCCTAGATGGGTAGGAAGTGGTGGTGAGGACATGGTCAGCCCTTAGTATGAGCAGGACAATGATTTCGAGGAAGACCCTAACCCTAAGGAGATGTCCAAGGGATATTATGTATGTGTCTATTAGGTTGAGAATTAGGGGTCTCACAAGAAGGATCATAAATTGGGAGGTACAATTCAACAAATGGAATGAACTATAAAGCAAGACTATTTAAGTAAGAAAAAACGATCAGACAAACTTGTTGGACACAATCAACCCAAAGATCTCTCAACATGACCTGAATTTTTGAATTGAAGAACAAGTGAAGATTGAAGTAAGCTGATCCCAAACCTAAATCATTCAGCAACTTGTATTGTAAATTCATGGAAAATGGAGCATTTCCATTCATAACGAGCACAATGTCAACCAACCTATTCCATTCCATCCAATCAATTTGACTTGTTTAATCCTTCTGATAAATAAAATAAATGTGGTCCTAAAATTTGGAAATTAGATAATTCATTGAAAGCATGATACATGAAATTGCATTTTATGTGCCTCCTACAACTCATTTTTGTCTTTGACATACAGGTTGACCCAATTTTTAACAAAGTGAATTCAAAGTTTCTAGATCCCCAAAAGCGATGTTTTATGCTTTTTGGCACCATTCATTTCTAAATTGATGGGCAACACCGAATCAAATCCAATCTATGTCTTCCCATTGGCCATTCCAAGTCTTGACTGGTTAAGGTATACGATATATCACCCATGCTTCAGCAGAAAGACATTACTTTTTCTCTTCCACTAAAGAGTCCAAACTCGATGCTTCCTATTGTCAAAAAAAATTTCCATGTTTCCCAATCCCCATGATACTGAATACTGATAGAAGTGAATCAGAATCTTGAAGAAAAGAATGTATACAAAATGGGGATACAGAAATTAGAGTCTAACCCTAATCTATTTGAGAGACCTGGATGCCAAACACTATTCCCAAAATCACAAAAGTGATCTCTAATTACTTTCCACTCATTATTTGTAAACACACACCAATGACATGACCAGATCTTCATAGAATGGTAGTTTCCATTAAATAAGAAGCCCAGTTACAAGATTCTTTAAGCCTTTATAAGAAAAGCATGAAATTCTGTTAGTTGACTATTGGAACTTGATATCTTCAATCAAATTATAAGGGATCTTAACACAAGGACGTAGAGAGATAATATTTAAACAGTTGAGACTTTATAGTAAAACACAAGTGTTACCAATGAAGGGTCTAAACCAATTCCACCATTGTTAATTACAAATTTACAACGTATACAAAGAAATATGTTCATAGAAAACAATCATTTCAAATGAGGACCCTTCCTCTAAGATGTGCTATTGCTATGAAGTCAGTATATGCTATAGAACAGATCTGAAACTTTGCCTCAATTTTAAAGTTAATTGTAAAATAAGAAAAATTAATGTACCCAAAAATAGTCATTAACATAACTCACCTGAACACGCTTGTTTCGAGCATATTGTTCAACTCCATTAAAGTTGCTCTCGGAATACTGGGTACAAACAACCAAATAAATTATGCTAAATCCTAAAAATGATTGAGTAAGCTGACAAGATCATAACACAGTTACCTGTAGATCATTGGTTAAGGGAGCAGTGTACATTCCACCAGAAGAAACTGTAATGACACGTGCATCTGGAGAAGCTTTCTTCAGTAACGGTACCATCAATTCTGTCATGGTGTATGTGCCTAACACATTTACAGCAAAGTTCAACTCATACCTGGAATATGAAACATTACATTGAAAAACACCAGATCAATGCAGGTTACGGGTAGAATTTGCAAAATTTCTCTTTCCATAGGCAACATATAGACTCACCCTTCTGATGTGGTAACTCGATTTTGCTCAAGCAAGCCAGCATTGTTAACCTTGATGCAAGAAATTGTGTCCATATTAGTTTTTTTATTCAAGAGCATAAACTGGTTAAGATAATATAATTATCACTTCAACAGTTATAAATAATATGTGCAGTAATTTCTTGAAATGAAACAGTATCCATCAGCAGCCCAAAGATATCCCCTGAAGTTTCCATACTAAGCTAGCAGCAATTACAACCAGAAAGGAAGTAATATATTTTCTTGAAATATAATTGAGAACTTACCAACACATGAACTGGCACATTCTTCCTTGAAAACCTGGAAGCAAATGACTTGATCTCATTGACTGAAGAAAGGTCACAAATCTGCAAGATCATTCAGCTAGTCATATATAACCAAAATGGCAATTATAATTTCTAAATACTTTCAGTTCATCCAATAAATTGTGGAAAGAACCATTTAGCTCATAGCTCATGTACAATGCATCCAAGTAGGAATATTTAATGATTTTGATTTTAAAATTAAAAAAAATAAAAAAGGATTAGTGACTAGAAAAAACACAGGGAGAAAAAGGATGATACCTCCAAATATACATTTTGATTGCCAGTTCTAGTTTGAATATCAGATAGAGCAGCCTCTCCTTTATCCTTATTACGACATATAAGATAGACAGTTGCACCACTGGTGAAATCATGAACAATAAAATTTAACTAAAAACTTAGAAACATAAAAATTTCAGAAAACAAACACATAGGAGAAAGATCAAAACCGCTTGGCAAGACCCTCTGCTGTTGCGTAGCCAATTCCAGAGTTAGCTCCTGTAACAATGCAATTCTTCCCAGGTAATTGTACTTCCATTTCCTCTGGTTTGAATCTCTTAGAATGATCGCTAAGAAAATTTTAAATCATCCCATTAGCTACGAACACAATAAGGCAAAATAACACAGCACTAACAGAATGCTATCAGTTTTATATTATTCCACTTTTCAACAGATACAACGAATTGCGACCAATGCTCATCTCCACTCTCTATTTCTACTTTTTATTTTGGTTTTAGCAATTTTGAAATTTCATGGAACCAGGGTCAGTGACATGCACCTATTCAATCTTGTAAGCTTCCCAGTAATTCAAAACTAAACAAAATGAAGAGAAATCAAGTGTAAATTGATTATATCAATAATTTAAAAATTAATAACGGATACATCAATCGAACAGTCAAAACCAATTTGCTTTCCTTAAAGATTTAAAAAAATATATATCTTTATTCGCAATTATCTATATCTGCAAAATCAATGCTTTTGAGCCAAGGCTTGGCATTCATTAAATACCGAGTTCTAGGAACAAGGACAACTATAACATCATCGTCCACATAATCATAATAATAATAACAGAAGAACGCACAGGAAACCAGCTTTGGTGAAATTAAGGTAGCCAAAAACTCCAAAAGCTGTTTGTCTCCATGTCTGTTAAACACGAAAAGTTGAAGGTTAAAGCAGAAAAAACACGAAGCAATGCAAAATTGAGGGAGAAAGGATCATGGGAAATTGTAAAGTTAACCTTAAGAAGGAACATAGCGAGTGTTGGAACGGAGAAGTGAAGTTGAAGTTGAAGTTGAAGTTGGAGTTGGAGTTGAAGTTGAAGTTGCAGTTTTCTGCTGTTCATTGGCTATGCCGTTATGGGTTCTTGACTTGACGTGCGCACCAAAGCTCACGTTTTGTTCACGTGCGTGGCAGGTTTTACGATTAAGCATTAGAGGCAAGTGGCAGCGATCCCCACCACAAATTTTCCTTTCTTACATTTCTTTAATTAAATAGTTTATTTTTTAGTTTAATGACACATGAGTTAGTAAACAAAATAACTTATGAATAAGTAAATAATTTTAAATATTAGATGTACTTTAAAATTTATAAATAATTCAAATTTTTTATTTATAACTTAATAATATAAGTTTATACATATTTATCATTTAATCTTTCATAAAATTTTTAATGGATACAAGTCTAAAAGTCAAGAAAAGAGTGAACAATGAATACTATAATACATAGGAATCAAGTTATTAAAAGAGTTTTTAAAAGTATTTGAATTGGCTAATTCATCGGGCATTATTGTTGCAAATTTTGTTAAAATCATTTATAAGAGAATGTAAATTTTAATGTCACAAGCATTTTCTGTATAATAAAAAATAATATTTAAAGTATATAGTTTAATTAATTGCTTACTCAATATATTTTTTTATGTTAAGACTTTTATAAATTTAGGATTTGCTTAGGAACACACCTTAATTAACCTATTATTAAATAAGCTATTTTGTATGAGTCATCATACCTTAAATTTGTTTATAAAATTTTATATAATGAGTTATGTTAAAAAACATATCAAAGTAAGTATAAAATAAAATATCAGTAGTTATAAATATTCACAAGCTTTTGAAAATAAAAAAAAAAATTGTCTTTGGAATCAATTTAAGAAATTTGTTTTAAAATTTTCATATAAGATAAAGTGATTTAAAATGTTTGAAAATAGTATCATAGAAAAATTGAATCAAATTTGATGACCTTCCACCTTATTTTATTTATTGTTCTTATAAATGCAATGATGAGTTAACAGTTTTTCTGATAATTTGACTTAAACTTTCAAATACTTTTGCTGAAATTGTAAAAAAAAAGTTTAATACCATTATAAAAAGTACTAGTTCTACCATTAATAAATGAAAAATTTGTTATTCAGCGGTCATTTCATAAGATTTTGAACATTGAAAAGCTTTACTAAATACATTCTTAGAGTTAATGTTAACTTTTATTATTGAAATATATGTTCAAATTAAAATTATAATAAATAATAAAAAATTTAAAATTCATAAGAAAAAAATATACTTTTTATATTCTGCTATTTTGAGTTTGAAATTGTAATATATGACTTAACTAAGTAATATAATATCAAATTAAATAAATTGCATTTAGTTGGACTACTAGTATTTTATGGTCATTAACAAATAGAAAAAAAAATATTTTACTTTTAAATTTAAATATATAGTTTAGGTGAAAATAAGAATGAGTTCATAAAATAAAATAACTAATAATTTGTTATCTTACTCATAAAAATGATAGTGGCTTACTATTTCGTTGAAACTAAACATACATCACTTAAGCTGTAGATATAACGGTTGAACAACTACATATTAAAACATCTAGCTTAAGCAAAATAAGTCTAGTGTAAGCGAATTAAATAGAACTTTAGCAAATAAATTATAGGTTAAACTAAAAATATTGTGCTTAAGTTAAAACTATCATGCTTAAGCTAAAAATATCACACGCTTAAGCTAAAAATTGTGCGCTTAAGCTAAGTCTAAAATGAACCTTAAAGTTACCATATGCACTTATGCGAAACATATTAGCTGCTTATATGAAAAATTAAGTATAGTTCTGAAATGGAATAAAGAGGCAAGCTACATATGAATCACTGTAACAGAGATGAATTGCTTGGAGTGAATTGTTTTTCTATGCTCAAGGCTTTTTGTATGATATTTGCTTAAGCAAATATGTACGCTCTTAAGCAAAACTATAACAATAAAGGCTAAAGTTTTTCATATCTATTTCAAGAATGTATTCCAAGCTATCAATTTTAATTACCATATCATTATCATCATCTCCTTCAGGCATTTCATCATTTATATTGGTGTCATTTGCATCATCAGTGCAAGCTTCCTCAACTTCAGTTTCGTCTTCATTTTCAAAATAAAATTCACCTTCATCTTCTATGTCTAACAAAATTTCATCTAATCCTTATAACAAAAGCAAACAACACTTTCAAAAATATATTTTGAATCCAAGGTGAAAACATTGCACTACTATTCAACTGACTTTGATGATACCTTTGTTGATCCAAGTACCTTAGGAAACAAGCTACCTCCTGCTACATTACCATATTATTCTTCATGTATGTATTTATTTATAAATTATCAAGTTTTGAACACTTTTTGCAAAATCTAAATCATGCCACCCTGTATAAATAAGATGATTAACCTTTTAGAAATTAACATGATGTAGGAGATGTATGACAATTAAAAGTTAAATCCAATTAAACAATATCCTTACCTCAAAAGTTGACAACAAAAATTGTTATTATACCTTATAAAATGTTTAAAACTTTGTGTTTGTCAAGTATATTTTATTACTATCATTTTAACTGATCATAACATGGATTTAAGCCTATATATAGAAAAATAATTAATGTTTTTAAAAAAAATCACTTTAACAAAGCTGTATTTCACTTTAGCTAAACTATATGCTTAAGCCACAACCCATACGCTTAAGCAAATGTGTGTTAGATTCATATATGTCTTTAATTCGCTTAAGCACATGGGTTGTGGCTTAAGCTAATTTTGACAAAAAATTAGAGTTCTTCTCAGTCTTTGATTAGGTTAAGTGAATGTGTGTTAGGTTAGGCGAATTTGACGAAAAAATTAGATTTATCTCTGTCTAAATTTATCTTAAGCATATAATTCCGGCTTAAGTTAAAATTACAGCAAAGTGAATTCCTGCGTTTTGTCTTGTTCAACAAAATCTCTTTAGTTACTACCCCTATTCTGATCAAAAGGGAGTTATAGTTAAACTTTTATCAAGTAAATTTGAACTGCAACTACTCTATTTATCGTTAAACTTTATATTGAAAACACAAAACAAATTCTTGAACTTCTTCAAAAACAAATTTAGTAGTGAGTTTGAAAGAATATGATATGGTTTCACGTGAATAAACAATTATGTTTTTTCTTAACCTTAAAAAGAATTATTTTAAAGATAATCTATTTTAAATATCTAAGAGATTGATATTCTTTATCTATAAAATTTATTAAGAATTAATTTTTAAATATTCAACTATAGCAAGTCATTTTGCTAACTTATTTACGAGTTACTTAATATGCTAACTCATCCTGCTCCTCTCCAATATTTTTATTTTAATTTAATTTAAGTATTTGTTAATTACTACTAAATAGAAGGTGTTGTATATTTTTTTAAATTAATAGTTATAATTTTAGTACTATACTTTTTTTAATTGAAAAAGTTTAGTACTTTTCTTACATATATAACAATTGCTACTGTTAATTTTATATTAATAATTAATAGAGTTAGTAGTTTAATTAAGATGGACATTAATATTTTTTAATTCTTAAGATAATAAAGAAATTATCATCGTTAATTTAAAAAAATATAAAATACTTTCTCAAACTTTCTTGTAAGTTAGTAAGTATTATAATTTTTTTAATATCTTTAAAATTATTTTTTTATGAATATTTTCTTTTTTTCAAATTTTAGTAATTTATTTTTTATTCTCATTATATTTTATCATTAAAATTGAATATCTTTAATTTAAAAAATATGAAAATATTATGTAATATTACATTTTTATTTAAATATCATACACATAGATTTTTCTTTATTTTTTAAGTCACAAGTTTTTATTAATTTATATAAATCAATATTAAAATATAATTTTGTTATATTCTTGAAAATTATTGATTACTAAACACTTGAATCGGGTAAAGAATTCTTCAAACTGAAAAAATAATTTTGTCACTCATAATAATTTTATTTAACTCAAACAAAATTGTCCTCCAATAAATCTGTGGTCTAAATAAAAATAAACAAATTATTAAGTGAACAACTAAATTTTAATAATTTAAAAATTAAAATATTAAATATGTACAAGTAAGTTAGGGTAACTAAAACAATATATAAGCTAAAATATGAAAATAAAAATTATAATATAGCCTCTTTTTCTTTAATAATAACTTTCACTGATTAAAATAAATTAAAAATATTCCTACAACATGTTTTTTTAGTAGTTCTCTTAGTTATCAAATAAAAAACATTAATTTTTTTATTTTAACATATTAAATATATTTTTATTTTTTAATAAATCATTAAAATGATTAAAAATAAGTACTTTAAATTTGTCTTTAATAAAATATTGATGTTTAGAAAAAAATTAAAAATAATATATTAATAAAAGATGTAATATTATTCGATTACAAAGAAAAAAAAGAAGAATACCGTAGTTTTTTACAATATTTTTCTATTAATTCTTATAATATTCTAATATATATATATATATATATATAATAAAAGAATAAATATATTTAATATTTTAAAATAAAAATTTTTTAGTTTATTTGATATAAAAAATTAAAAATAATTACTATAAAAATGTTATTATTTAACATAAATTTTCAAATATTTTTTATATTTTTAAGATATTAATACATTCGCAATTTCGCATCCTTACTAGTACCTTAATAATAAACAGTACTATTCTCCAAGAATTAAAAGAGAATCTCTAAGAATATAAACCATCAATCTTGTTTATTTTATCTATTAATTATTTTTTTTCGTTCCTAATTTTCAACTGTGCTTAAAATACTTAATAAAAATGTACTTTTCTATTGATTATTTCTATTTAATAAAAAGAATAAATATATTTAAATCGATTAAAAAGATTAAAACTTCGTATGATAATTTTATATTGTATAGGATCCAAAGTAACATTATTGCATATGAGTCTTAACGATTTAAAGCGTATAAAGGTAGAGACGTTATATAATAACACTATAAATTGTTGCATTAATATAATAAAAATATTCTAGATGATAGATTTTAATGAAATAAAAAATAATAATTGATTAATTTTAAAAA